AGAAGCAATCAATAGTAGTTATTTTTTTGAGTTCATAATATTGCATTCAACTTCTTTAATATTAATTTTATTATTTGAAAATAAAAATTAGATGGTGTTCATAAATTTTTTTTCAGAATCTATATATTTTTATTTTAGTGCTTTTACAAAAATACAATGAATGCCCTTGGATACCCAGATCTAGGATGGTTTGGATATGGGTTTATTTTTTCAGACCCATAAGAATTTGGCTCTGAATCTAACTAAATTTAATGGGTCTGGATTAAAGGGATTCAATCCAGACCTTAACCCATTAACATGCGTGATCATTGGAATAATAATGTCATGCATTCTAATAGATAATAAGATTTCTTTCTTTCCTACCAAAGATAATACCTGGGCATATATACGTGATTAAATCTAGTTCTCCCTTGAAAAGCCAAATAAAATTACTTAACAATTCACTTTGTGACGGTGTCCCATAGAGTACCATCGGTTAACTCCTACTCTTTTTTTTTTTTCTTTTTTTTTTTTGTCGACACAGAGGTGTGCGGGTCAATCCTTACGGGGCCTGACTAATCCCCTGCGGGGCCCGGACCCGACACAGGGGTTAACTCCTACTCCATCTATTCTTTTTATTGGGATTTACTTTGTTTTTGGATTAATATATAGATTTTTATTTTGACAAATTGCAACACCTATATTATTATGTTACTTAAACATTAGGGGAGACCCATTTAGGACCTTAGGTAATACAAGAGGCTAAAAAGGAGATGGCCAATCTGAACTAAAGAAAGGAAAACTTAAAAGGGGTACATCGACATGGTTTGGGAAAGGTCTATCTAAATTAGAGGAATGCATTGACATATTTTTAAATTTTTTTTACGCATACAAGATGCGAGGTTACACCTAGAATTTGAAGATGAATATATTATTTCCATCCTGATAATCACCTTGTTATTAATAAGTTAATCGGATTAATAGAATTTCACCTATTCACTAAAGTTTAAATTTATAGTAGAGTAACTTCTAAGTTGAAGCACTCCTTAAGTTCGTATGTTGAACCATAATTCATTCTTTAAATCATGGCGTTGATATATGCCAAAAAAACTAGACAACGGAGATGGAATTAGGCACTTGGTTCAACAAAAAAAAAAAAAACCGAGAGACATGGACACATAAAGAGAAAAGTATATGAATTTTCAAGAAGTTCTACAATACTTTTTGGTACCATACCATACTCAAAAGTATCAATCTTTAAGGTTTACGTTAATGATCTAATAAGAATTTATTGAATTGTTATAATTATGATACCAAACGAATGGTAGAATTTTTGTGAATTTTCATTTTTATCGTCGTAGTGATGATACAAACAGCCGCAGTCACGTATCACTATAACCAAATACAAAAGTCCACCTCCCGCTTGCTAAACTATAACTAATACATAAGTCCACCAAGACAACAGAGCCCATTTTCTCTGACCGGAGCGGTGGTAGTTCATCGTTATCGCAAACCCAAGATTCCATGGCGACCTCCAAGCTCCAGGCTTTGTGGAATCACCCCGCTGGCCCTAAAACAAGTCTGCTCTTTCATCTCTTCTCTCTTTATGCCATTTACCTATGTTGGCTTTCATGCGTTGGATTTGGATCTTCTTGATATTCTCTGCAGTCAATTTCCCAATTCTTTTGAATCTTCTTTGCATCTCGTTTTGATGCTTTTGTAGTTCCCTAACATCAATACTTGGCAGATGGGATGGATTATTTTGTGTAAATTAGTTTTGGGTTTTCTCCAGGTGGGAGAAAGATTCAATTTTTTAGGATGTTTTGGATTGGGGTTCGGGTTCTTAATAGCTATCTTATGTGGATTATTAGGTCGTTTCAGTGCTGTATGTTCGAATGGAGGCAATAAATCGACAAGCCGCCCCAATTCTAGTATCAGAGGAAGTTTGAGTTTTCTGACTAATAATGTAGCGAGTAGGTTCTCAAATTCAGGCGAGATAAGGTAGTCGATTTAATTTGAGATCTATCCAAAAGTTTTTAATTGCAAAGGCATGATCGTAAAGGCAAATGGTAGCAACTGCAATGAGTCGTCTGTCAGCAAAATCCAGCTAGAGGTAGTAGAACTTTACCTTGCAGTGGGGTTCTATTGTATTATTGTTATGTGGATGCTCTATCAAGCTGGAAAAATAGGAGTTTCACAGGAATAGCATATAGGCTAGAATGATAGAAGGTGGTTGGATGAATCTGTGATACTTCAAGATTGGAAACTCAGCACCTTAATAGAGTAGAATGCAAATTGAGAAAAGAGGGGCATGTACCTGATCCTAGTCAGTACGATACTATGAGTAAAAACTCGTCTTAGATGTATGCTGAGTTGTATCAGTACTATCTTCCTTTTCTGTTTGTCTAGGGGGCTTTGATTTTCTTTTCTTTTTTCTATTACCTTTTTTCAAAACACTCCTTTGGAAATTTGGCGAGGAGGTTGTATTGTCTCCACTTTTTTTGTTATAAATTCTGTGAAATATATACAGAAACAAAGGAATGTGTCTCTTTTGCAACAGGTAGAGTTTCATTTAACATCAAAAAATAGAGAAGATGATGATTTGTGCTTGTTCATTTTGTGTGTGTTAGTTCATTTCTGGGCTCCAACTTTCAAGTGGGGCATTAGTATTGCCAACATTGCTGACTTCTCTAAACCACCTGAAAAGCTCTCATACCCTCAGCAGATTGGTACGTTCTATCTTCTTGTATCTCCATGTACTCTGTGTGCCTTGTGGATCTCCATTTATGAAATCCCCCCCCCCCCAACAAAAACCCAAAAAATCCCTTGTAAATCCCATCGGCCCATTGAATAGCTTTTTAATTGTCATCTTTGTTTGCCTCAATTTAATGTGGCTAAATTCTGTGATGGAATTTTTCATTTCCTAGTATCCTTTCAGTTTTCTGTTTTTCTTTCATGTGGCATTTGTTATAAGTTTCTTGGCCAGCATCACAATTGTTGTCATACGTACAGCGGTAACAGCTACTGGACTTATCTGGTCGCGCTATAGTACTGTCATTACCCCGGTAAATTCTACTTCCAATACATGTCTAGATTTTCAATTTTTTAAGTACGGTTGTTTGTCTACAGTTTGATTGCTTCTAGATTTTCAATTTTTTTAACTGAGAAATTTAATTTTGGAGCTGTGTACAATTTGACTTATTTCAATTTGCCTCAGCCCTTACCTGCTTTATGGTTGAAATAAATTGTGTTCAATTTATCAGTCTTCCTAATGGAGGAATTTCTCATTCATGACATGTGCAGCTGTTGCAGTTTATATAAATAACTTCTTTCCTTTATCAAATCAATAAAAGGAAGTGTGTGGATTTTCCTCAACTTCAGGTGTCAAAGATTGAAACACGAGACTTGGATGAAATCCACTTTCAAATAATCAACCAACTTTGTTTCCTTGGTCCCTTCCAATGGTGAAAACCTTAAAATAGCATCCTCTTTCTGCTAGGTCCTGATTGCTATTGACCATCATCTTTTGCATTCTTAAAGTAGCATCCTCAAATAACTTTAAAGCTTACTAATTTTCACAATCTTGCACTATTTTCTTCTTTTTAACATCTTGCCTGATAGTGTTCCAGTTTAGTTCCTGTTTCTGTGTTAATTGGCTCAATACAACAATTTGCTTTTTCTTTTTTTTTTAAATGAATATACTTGCAAATTATCTTGATGAGTTTCAGTCTGTCCCTTTTTGCATTACCCTCTGGTGGTAATATTTTCGTTTGTCAGTTACAGCAACCAAGCCAAAAACAACTTTTGGGATCAAAGCCAACTAGATTGGAACTCTTGTACATGGGATATTATTACACCTATAGAGTGTTCTGCTTTACCTTTTAGTTAGTATATCCTTATAAACAATGAGCAATGTTCTTGATTTCCTTGGAGAGCAGAGAGTTTATAAGTCTATTTAAGCATGTCCATTGAATTACTTGTAGTTAGCAATGTTTTCCTGCCATCTGTATCACGTACATCATTTAATGTCATGAGTAGTTGGTTATCGTAGTAATATTTGCGGTGTTCTTGTCTGTATGCTTGATTGTGGTTTGCAGAAGAACTGGAATCTATTCAGTGTAAATGTTGCAATGGCTTGCACTGGCCTATACCAGCTTTCACGGAAGATTAGGTCAGTTTTGTGTATTTCAACTAGCTATTTACTTGATCTGATACAAACGATACCATCGCTGCATTGGAGATACCTGAATTTTACATGCCACATAGGAAGTGCTAAACCCCTCTCTAACCACCCCTCGTGGGAAGAGTAGGAAAAAGAAACAATCAAACAATGTAAAAGTAAACTGAACTGAGGAGGGAGTAAAAAGGAAAATGATGTCCCTTGTGTTATAAGTGATAGTTTGACATCTTTATTTCTGTGGATTGATGTGGCATTAGGGCACATCCTATGTTCGTTAAACTAATCATCGGTTTATGATCAGGCATGATTATTCTAACACGGAGCAAGCTGTTGTTGCTGAAGAATGATGACGAAAGTTCACATCTTTAATCCTTGGAATGATGGATCCAATTGGTTTCTACTTTGGAAGCTCCTGAATAGATTTTTCTGTGCCCCTTGAATTGGGTTCTGTAATTTGCTATTCTCATTAGATGTGAACGTGATGTTAATTATAGCCTCTGCTTTGAATTGGGTTCTGTAATTTGCTATTCTCATTAGATGTGAACGTGATGTTAATTATAGCCTCTGCTTTGGATTCATCTGTAGTCATCATCTTGTGATTTTAATCTTTTTTCCTTTTAACTTTTGACCATCAATAATATGAATGTTTTGATTTGAATGTCATGCCATGATGACAAGGGCGCTTCAGCCTCTGAGATTTTTAACCTTTTATTCCCCAAGGCAGTAGCTACCTACTAGAGCAGACCAAATATGGTGTACAAATGAACTTAAAAAAGAGTAATAGCATTTTCCAATTGCTATGAACTCGACAAATATAATTCAAAACTCCCTGACTACATTTGGTAAAGTCCAAAATGTCCAACTGCAGCTGTAGAATGCATTAGATTGGTGAAAAAATTGATTGTCTGTTGGTACACATAATCGATACAAATTGCCATGTTCTCAAATGAGGAAGCATCAATGTAAGTCTAATATTACAGGCATACATTTTTGTCGTAGTCTTGCTCTAACCGACACGATCAGTTAACAGAGAGCATCTTCAAGAGGTAAAAATGGGACTGCACTGCTAGGAATTTTTAATATCCTCTTCTGCTTCCCCTGTAGCTTAGCATCCATCTATTCCTTCCCTGACGCATTCTCATTCTTGCCAACTATCCATCTTTATTCTGCTCTACTTTGGCATCAGAATCATTTTCTCCATCATGAGCCTTCAAGCCCAAGCTTAAGTCCAATGTGCTTTCATTTAGATCTTGCCGTCCTACGGGATCATTGTCTGAAGCCTAAAATAGGAGTAGATTTAAAGAAGACCTAACAAGTTAGTAAACTGATGTCTTCCTCCAAATTCAAGAAGAAATGAAAAAAAGAAATCAATTACCAAGCAAGTTTGAAGCTGCAGGAAACAAAATTGAGTTCAACTCAAATTACCTGACATTCTTCTGCGGGAACATCATTGATATCAGGTTTCTCGTCAAAACCATCATTCTTAGAGGTTGGCTCCATACCATCTGTGTCTGTCTCCATAGGTTTAACTTCATCTTCAACCTGTTCTGACACCTCATTCTTTTGCTCTTCTAGGACAGCCACCTATTTCACCCATCCGAACACAAAGATAAGCTGACAATCAACTAAAAGTACTGCATAGATATTCACCAGACTAAGTCGAGGAGTTACATAGATTTGTCCACATTTTATAATCAAGAATTGACCATATTGATGGTGAAAGCTACAATGATTTGAGATATCAACTTCCTTACTTCAAGAAGATGTCAAAATTTCAGTCACACGCCTAGCACATCTAAACTTGACTGGACCAGGCTCAAAAAAGAGAAAAAAAATTGAGAAGAGAAAAGCTATCAAACTGGCAAAAACAACTAACAATAAATTATTGCCACAGTGCTAAAACATAAATAATATTATTAAAAGGAGAGTCAGAAAGAAAAGGTGATCTGCAAATGTTAGACCGAGATGCCTTTCCATGTCAAATTTCTAATGTCTCAGCTGGATCGCAAGCATCTATAAAGATCTAATTGATATAGTAAATTTAACAATCTCAAAGACAACTGGTACATTCCAGTGGTAGCTTATCATGATACCAATGGAATCAGTAATTTGTATGTAAAGCACCAAAAAAAAAAAAACTTGATCAAGCATGAAGACTACAAGCAATTAATGAAATTACCATGACAAAGCACTTTTTCCGTGCAGATATGAGATATGACTGTAATTTATCCATAACAATAATACTATTAAATCACATAGGCCTCAGTTTTCAAAATCTTCCACACACCATTGATGCCTTTAACAGATATAGACAATAGATTGCCAACTAGCTGAAGTCAACCAGCAACAGTAATCATCATAGTAGCATGCAGCATTATTCTTTAAACCAACAGATTTTTGCTACCAATAACTCCTATACCATTACGGAGCAAGTTCAAGGCCCTATCAATCTTCTAGGTACTTAAATTACGATTCCTCCTACTATTTTTTAAATTCATACTATGTTGACAGCTTACTTGTAAGTTAATCAGTGATCCTAATAAACAACCAGAGAGTTGCAAAGAACCCAAATTTAGCATCTATCTCAACAATAGTAACCAGAAACAAATATTACAAGGGATTAATTTGCACAGATTTTAGGAAAGTTTCCTTACCTGAAAAACAATTATAGAAACTATTTTGAACTTCTAGGGAGAGAGTCCAGAGATACCATCGCAAATTAAATATAGGCATCTCAAAAACATCTCTTAAGTGAACTTGAAAACACAGTCCCTGCAGGAAGCATGATTGCAAATATAATGGGAGCACAGAGGTTAAGGCATAATTCAGGGTAAAGCCTAGCTTAGGGCGCAACATTGTAGAGCACCTAACTCGTTTAACTACAGCTCATAACCAATTTCTTAGCATATTCTCACCCCTCCAAATGTAACAACATGTCCATTGACAAAATCTTTTCCACTTTTCCCCCATGACTACCATTGGTAAACACAGGTGCAGGCATTTAATGTCCTGCCATCATTTTTCAATTGACTATAAAAGTGCTAAAACAGAGGCGCAAAGGGTGATGAAAAATTCAAGAGTGTTTTCTGCAACTCCTGATACAGTAAGCAATTAGTCATTTAAGAGTAAAGTCAATCCATGAGCTTCTATGGATGGAAAGAAGTTCGATAAGCAGCCTTGTTCTCTACAAGCAGAAATGTTACTCCTGTTCCAACATTAATCAGTTACCTCCTAGGTCAAAACAGTACAACCATAGCATCCCAAGGTCATTCCTGACAATTCACAACATTTACAGGAAAGAGAAAATTTGATAAACCCAGGTTTCATCAAATTAAAGAACAATACGCAAAACAGTGAGGCAAATGACAAGTTTCAGAACTGAATCAAAAACGATAAATAAATATGACTATAGTTTTTGCTGATGCCGAATTCTAGATGAAGCTAATTAGTTAACTTGACCATAAGTTTCTTTGTACCTCAAATACATACAGCTAGATAACAAATCAAAAGCAAAACCACAGCTTCATTCTCATCTTAAGGAGCTCCAAAATGAAGAAAAAGATGCGGTAGAATTTCAGTACAATTAGATAGACAAAGCAGTTTTCTTGCAGCTTTTTCAAATACTTCTACTATAGAGCAGTTTTTTAAATATCCTTTTCAGGCTCTAAGTTTGAAGACCATCAGTTGAAACATTAGGCATAATGTTTCCAAATTATATTATATCTACAGGCAGACCTTTGGAGCTCCTTATTTCTTAGTGAAAACAATCTGCATTGGAAGCTTTCAGAGCTTGATAGTCTAATTAAAAAACGATGAAGAAGTTGTTTCCAAACACGTACCGAATATTTAAGCGAAGAAGAAAGAAAATCGAACAAAATGGAATACTTTCTCAAATTTCAAATTATGTGATAACTAACGCCCCAAAGCTATCCAATACGTGTCCGCATTCCACAGCACGTTCAATTTCCCACTCAAGATCAGATCTTTACAAACAGCAAACCACAAAATTTCAATTCTTTAAAGATTCCCACTTCCCCAATCTCAATCTGAAAGCCTAAACCCTCTTTTTACACTAAAAAAATCCAATAATCAGTACAATCAAATGAAATTAAATTCCTTCTAAAATCAGAACATCACTTCTCAATGCCGAGCAAACATACTCTATGGTCAAATTGAATATTGAAAAACTGCAAAGTAGATTGACAGAGAAGTACCGGGATATACTTGAATTGACGCTTGGGGGGCTCGTCAACAGCTACGGCGTCGTCTTTATGCGAGCTCTTTGACTCCTCATTATTGTCACCGTTAGTCTTCCCATTCCCGTAACCATTGTTGCCGTTGAGGCTGGGAGTTATGGGCGTCCACTTGTACAGCAACAGGTGAGAGCCGTTATTTCCATTACCGGCACCGTTGGGCGCCGCCGTTTGGTGATGGTGGTGGTTGCTAGTATTGTTATTGTTTGGCGGCGTTAGGGGGATCCATTTTTTCTTCCACTTACGGACCGGACCGGTGAACACAGTAGCCGGGCCGTACCGCGTAGAGGACCGGCCGAGTCTTGCCCCTACTCCCTCCATTCACGGTGGCGGCGGAGACTCGTCGGCGATCCCTTTATTCCGCTTTGTCTAATTTGATTTACTTCGTAAACCAATAAAAATAGGAAATTGCAATTTTGTCACGGTATTTTATTTTCGCTCTGCAAATATATAGTATATATATGGGATGGAGTTAATCTTTAATCCACCTCCTTTCCTATGGTAAGCAACTTTCCAAAACTAACCCTGTTCCCAATCCCGCTCAAATAAAATAAACCACTACTAATTTTGCTACTATATCAAAGCCATCCAAGGCCACTTTGTTCCGAATAACAAATTGTAGTAAAACAATTACTTGTAACTTATATAGTACAATTATTGCAGTACAATAATATATTCCTGGCTAAAAACTATAACTCTAATCGAAACTTATAAAGCGGATTGTGAAAGCTTGCTTCTAGCTATTGGGATTTGGGAAGAATCAGACATTTTGTTTGGTCTGTGATTGCCTGGAGAAAAATTTTTGCGATTTTTCGATCACCCCTTTTATCTCACGTACATCAAATCAATCACCCCTTTTATATCACGTACATCAAATCAAATCGTTACAGCATATATATATTTTTTCTATTAAAACTCGTGGAAATAGCAATTCAAAGATGAGATTAGGCACAATTACACAGAGGAGAGGCTAACTTTTGTACGAAAATGCTTTTCGCCAAGGCAGATGGAAAGCTTTTGACCTCCTTGTTTAGCTAAGGTGAGTTCGAGTTTTAACCGAACAAATTCGTGAGCAGTTGAATTAAGCTTGATACAATTCACGTGTGAGACTCGGTACACTTGTGGTTGAAGATATGCCGAACAAACGTGCGAATAGCTCAATCGATCTTCGATGTCATGTTCGAGACTTGTAAATTTGAGGTGAAGATGTATATTGTAAGGCAGAAAGGAAGTAATGGAATTGGTATTTTGTACAGAGGATTCTGCTCCACAGTCCATGCCCATTGCCCTATCTCAGTCCCCCAATAAAGGCATGCTGAGAAGAGAAGGACGTTGGGTGAGACCAAAAAAAAAAAATACAAAAGGTCACTCTGCTTAAAAAAGATGAACGGCCAAGATTTAACCCCCCATCGGCTTATAAGCTGAAGAAGCACACCCGAGACTTCTAGGGTTGGTGCGTAGTACTACAAAGTTTACAGCACCATCACCGCCCCTCCCACTTTGCCCGCACTCCATCCGCCTTCACATAAGCTCGTCCGTCCATTTATCCGCTAATTTGTTCACTTCTGGTAATCAATCCAGCTAAATAGTTGAAGGGTGAAAGTTGGATGAAGTGCCGTTTTGTACTCTCTGTTTATCCTTTCGTCTCTAGAAAACCTGCTGTAGTTAACTGCTGAGCTTTCGTCAGGAGGTTGGGAAAGTGTTTACCCCACCCAGCAAGAGGAGGGGGTGAAGACGAAAATGGCAATTATTTGGATTTTGCCGTTTCAAACACCCTTCTCTGACATCAATGCTTGAATTTGCATCTTCCAGGCTTGCTGCTCTGATTCCTTCAGCAGCATGCGTCAACGGGTGCCTACAATAAATATTTTCTTTCGGATTGATTTAAGTTGTACTCTGGCCCTAAAAGTTACTGCTCATAATTTTTAGTGCGATCTGAAATGCAATTATTTGGATGCAACTATGAGGGAAAGGATGGCAAGACTCAACTGAAATGACAAATGGGATTTTGATGGCAAATACAAGCTACCTAGGCACACGATCAAAGAAATCCCAAATTAAGCTGCTCTTTTTTTGTTTTTATTTCAACCTAAACTATATTAACATTAACAATAGTCATGAGTAAAGTGTCTTATTTGACAGAATGCCGTCTAACTTATTTGTTACTTGACAGAGGGTGCTGATGGGCAAATTGAACGTTTTCGATAGTTTGTCAGAATGGGCTGATTGAATCTTTCCAATAGTTTAGTGGGCTGGTTGACGGAAAACAAAAAAAGCTTAATGGTTTCTGTGAGAATCTGGAAATTCATAAATATTAGAGGTGGCAATGGGGCGGGGACGCTGACTTCTCCCGTCCCGTCCCGCTTCCCCGCGGGGTTAAAAAAATTTTATTATATAATTTATTATAATTAAATTTGAGCAAATAATCAAGTACTAAAATATTAACATATCACCAAATTATTATTCATTGTAACTTCACAATTAAAACTCATAAAAATAATTAAACAAAAGTTATTTAAATACAATCTAATATGATAAAAAAAATATAACTAAAATAATCAAGTTTTCACTTTTGATACAAATACAATCACTAAATTATTATTGTATTTTTTTTAGAAAAAAATGTTATTGTATTTAGTGTAGTTAGGAATTTAATATAAATGTATTAATAAATTTAGTATAAATAATTAATAATTTTTATTAATAAACATATATAATTAGTAATATAATTGATAATACCATTATTATATAATTATGTACATATATATATATATATATATATATATATATATATATATATATATATATATATATATATTGTTTCAAGCGGGTGGCGGGGCAGGGATTGGGGCGGGGAATATACCCCCGTCCCACGCCCCGGCCACAACCCCGCCCGTTACTCGCCCCATTGTCACCCTTAATAACTATATAAAAAACTACTTTTTTGGACTTTTATTTTGAATTGAAGAAAAGCGGATTCTCTTATATGCCTCCAAAATCAATAATATTGGTCTTTTTATTTTTATTTTTCTCTTACATGGGTCTTTTTTTGAGAAGATGAAAAGCTTAAATAACTGCACTATTTCCAGTCCTCGACTGACTAGAAAATGAAAGCTGCGACAAATGATACCATCCTTTGACTAGAAAATCAAAAGTTGCCATCAGTGGTACCAATTTGTTTGTGCTTGATCGCTATTGAGTTTAGAACCCCTAATCTTTGACTAATGGCTCTTTGGATTTCAGCATAATGGCATTCATCAGTCGCTCTTGTACGACTACGCAAACTTTCTTGGTCCAACACAAGCGTTTGAAAACTACTGATTTTGGCTCAGCGGCCATCAAAAATTAATCCTTCTTAGACTAGTCCTTTTTGGGCTGTAATTTGAAAGTTTAAACCTCATTTGAAGTAAAAAAAATTCAAAAGAGATATCAAAACACTCTTTTAATCTAATTAAATTTAAATAGCTCCTAATTTCTTGTATAATTTTTTTATAGGTAAATTAAATTATACAAATGTTATGATAGTACGAAACAAGCGTTTGGATGACCCGGAGATGTACAAAAGTGGCTGCAGTTTTCAATAGCTGCAAAGCCACATGGAAAAAGTACATAGCAGAGTGCAGACATGTACTGCAAGGGAAAAAAACTTAACAAACAAGTCTATATATAGGCTTTGATTGCTCAGCAGCCAAATGAGGCGATCAGAAAACTAGTAATATAATGCAAGAGATTTATGGAGGAGTAGAGGGAATCTTGCTCCAGTAGCCCTCCAAAGCAATCGAACTAATTCCAAGAAATCAAAGCTTATCCTATGCAGGCCTAGACTATCGTCTCAAAAAAGCAGCAGCCATTTGTTGGGCAAATTTTGTTCACACAAATTGGCCAACTTTGTGAATTGTTAACCTACGATAGTACGCTGTTGCCGTTCAACTCCGCAGCCAAGTTGCCTACTCTGAAACCACCAACACATTTAGTAGAGAAATGTTCTCTGCAGGGGAAAGAAATCGTTGGCACGGGCACAAAACCAACTGATCTCTTCCTTCTTCTCAAGTCGTCCTCGTCAGAATCAAATGCTTTTTGAGCTGGAGAAAGTTCATTGGTTGTTCTTTTATAAGAGCCGAACCATTTTGCTTGCATGTAACCTAATCTCCTCCATGGTGGCAAATGAATGTCAATTTTCTTCATGGATTTCTTAATGGCACTGCACATTAATCTTGTCACCTGCTTGAGCTCATCTTCTTTGCCAACAAATATTTGAGGGAAAATGTTGAGTAAGGATGTATAGCGCCCGGTTGGCTTGGCTATCGCGAACTCTTTAGCTAGAGCAACTTCAACAAAGTACCTAGTTCCAGCCACATAAACATCAATATATTCGTAATCCCCAGAAGGGCAGTGGCCAACTTTTTCCCACTTGGATTTGCAAAAGCCTGTAGAAAAAATCGAGTTCAAGAAATTAGACAACGAGTAAACAGTCCACGTGATGCAACTAGTGTTTTAGGCATTCGCCTTATATGGTCATAACAGTGGCAGCAATGTGATGAACCAATAGCGTAAAGTATTAAAAACATTTGCCTAATTTTTACTACTGCAAAAATTAATATACCCACATCACGTCCCCTATCTTGCATACCCGATCAAGTTTATATTTGTTTCCCAAAGAAAAGAAAAAGGAATCCAAACAAGAACAAGACTTTCGTTCTCTATTTTCCCTCCAACAAAAAAAAAAGGTTGATTAGTTATTCTTGCTTGCATCAAAAGAATTTTGCATGTATACCAGGAAAATAGAGAACAAAAAGCCTGTATATGCTCATGGATGCTGCATCTCATCAGCAAAACTGGGCTAAAATTTTGTATGTAGAGTCCTACTATAAAGACAAAGGAGGAGTTGATAATTTATTTACCAGCATCAAGACCTCTATCACGCAACCGGACCATAAGACGCCGTTTAAAATCAACTGTTGACGAACCATGGGCGCCAACAACTTCCCTTGAAGCTTTTTCCACCGCCGTATGAATCTGTCTCTTCACCTCATCGACTTGACAATTCAACAACCTCTTCAAACTGTCCTTAATGTCGGAATCAGAACAGTTCCTCTCCGATGATTCATCTGAATCTTCAGCCCCATCGTTCATTTGATCAATCCCCCGAGGATCACCAAGTCCCTCCTCGTTTTCAAGAAAAGAATTAACTAAATGTGACAAATCGGTACATGTCTCTGCAGAGTGCTCGCTGCCACTGCTCTCATACAGCCTAGCCCGAGCTTCCTCATCAAAAGCTGCCACGACCCTTTTGAATCTAACAGGTATCCTAGCCATCTCTACGGTCAATTTCTGTTTCTTTTCTTTTCAATTTTTTTGGGGGGGGGGGGGGCGGGGTGGGGGTTGTACCTCTTTTGGACGACAATGACTCCGGGCGGAAGAGAGGGTTATGCTTTTATAGAGGAAG